TTTTTTTTCTTTCATTGTAAAGAGTGGATTTCTAGGTCAGAAACTGAAATGTGTTCCAGGAATCTCCCCTTCTCCCCCTGCCGCCTTTTACTGAAGGGAGTATTTTCTAGTTATTCTAGGATCTGGTGATGCGGCCACTGCAGTGTCACCTCCCTGATCTGGAGGCCATGTATCAGAGAAGCTTCAGCTGTCTGTAACACACCAGAGAGCTAGGAACAAGGCCTCTCGAGCTGCCATAAAATAGGTCTGCATATTTGCTTCTGAATTTAGGCAAATGACTCAAAAGCCCCCTGGGTTTTACCAAAACCAAATTATTTCTCAATTTTATAATCCTATAGAACATGCGCAGGTTTTTTTTCTTATTTCTCTTTTTTTACCCCCCCCCCACACACACACATACATTGAAACCAGAAAAGTTGAGGTTTGACAGGTACAGGGTGTGTGGGGGGGGCGGTATCAGAGGTACAGAATCAAGTAGCCTCAAGGAGCATGAAAAGTTCAGTGATGTCACTGAGCAGGATGCCAGTGTGACCTGAATCTACAATACAGATGAAATTCTTTCCATTTTCCTCTGTTTAGGAGGGCAGGTACTATAAAACTTCTAGAACATTCTCACCAATAAAATTTAAGAAAGAAACCGTGATTATATGGAATGCTTCATCGTGGGTCTAGATATGGGAATTCCTGCTTTTCTTTGGCATTTTCAGCTAGCCATGGAGTTCCTGGGACGTAAATTGGCTTTTTCGTTTTGAGTGTTTCCTCTTTTGCCTTTCCCCATTGTGCATAGGTGATTCTCCTCTTATTTTTCACCTTAAAGGAATTTAAAATGAATGTTTAGATAGTAAAGAAACTTAAGGTGTCTGGAGTATTGAATTTACCAAAGTTTGGGGTTTTTTGTTTTGTTTTGTTTTAAGCATCCCACCCTCCGTTGGTGCTCTCACCCCAAGTACTGGACACTAACCCCAGCCACAAAAAGCAACTGTATCAACATCGATTTCCCTTCCTTAACTGTGTTTATAAACTTAAGGCTAGGGATGATTCTCTGCAGAGTGTCACTAGAATTGCGCACCATACCGCGCACATAGAAAGTGCTCAGTAAATCTCGAAGCAATAGTTGGGGATAGATACTAATTTTATCCCCGTTTACAGGTGAGAATGTGGAAGGTCAGAGAGATTGCGTGGCTGGCCCCCGAATCACAGCAGTGGAGGGGACAGCCGGAGCTGGCACCGGCCCCTGGGCCATGGTGCCAACTCTCTCTGGGAGCTGCGAGGCTCCCTTGGTCTTCCTGGATCCCCCATTCCACTTCTGTACAGTGTATGAGCATTGCACTCCTGTTTCTTAATTGACAAAAAGTAAAAAGAAAAAAAAAGGATTGATTGAAATCTTTATTATTAAAGTTCTCTGGTTGATTGAATTGGCATAACTGTCTAGCTCAAAGAAAATGAACTATTTTAAAAAGCACTAAGATTTCATGATCCCCCCACCCCCCTTTCACCTACTCTTTTAGTTTTTTAGTTTGACAGAATTCTTAGGTTGTATGCTGAAAAGCCTATGGGTTAAAGCTAATCTGTATGTTTAAAATGATGCATTGACAATCCTTCTTTTGGTTTTCTTTTTTTAACTTTTTAGAGGGTTGACAACTTTAAAAGAAATGGCATGTTTCTTTAACCCCAAGAACACTTTATTTAAATTTAGTCATTGGCTTGGAGAAAGAATAAACAGAACCTTCACTTAAATGTTCCCATGTCTTAAAAGAATGAATGGGTAGTGATATGATTTATAGCTGGCGTAAGAATAAAGAAGATAAAAGAAAATTGAAACCCAAAATTACTGGTTTCAGCAGAGTATTTCTGATTTAATTCTGAACTGTGAATACAGTTTACGCCTTGCTTAAATGTTTCTTGCCAGGTTGTGGAAGCAAATCTCTATCTTCTGTATGCCATGTAGCCTAATTGAATGTTCATTGTCTATATAGAGAACTTAAGCCATATTTACATCTGGCACAGTGCCTCAATATCTGTTGATTGAATGAATAGAAGAATGAATGAATGAAACTCATTCAAAAAGGAAGACATTGATATGTTAGCATTTATATCATGTGGAGCGGGTATATTTTATTAAAGTTAGTGATAAAAGGACTAGTGCAAACTATGAAAAAACTTTCGGTGTCACAGACACCAGCACCTTGCTACAAGAAAATCCACGCATGAAAAGTGGAATAGGTCAGGTTAATGAATTCCCCCTAAGAATCTAATATTTTCCATAGGGGCCCCAAAGGTCAGTTTTGTATTGAATGCAGATTATCTTTCATGGTCTTCATTTAAATGCTTTGTAATATATTTAGTAAGTGAAAACACAGATTTCAAACTCTAGAAAACAGAGTTGGATTCCTTCAGCTGATAACACAATGTTGTGCTCCAGAGTATTGAAACCTTCTGTTGTGATGTTTAAAATTTTCACCTGTTAAGATCATAAAAACCTTCTTGTGGGTTTAAAAACACACGCGCACACCCTTAGTGTTTTTTACAGTAATCGTTGTAAAAGGTCACACAGACTTATTTCATTGAGGTTGCTACTGAGCAAAACCTTTTTTCTGTTTCTCTTCATGAATTTTATTTGTATTATTTGAATCTTCCCAATAGTAGCAGATCTTCATCCTTTGGGATAATTTGACTTACTTGAAACTAGCCCAGAGCCATTTGGAATCACATTATTAAGGTAGACCTCACAGTTGTGGTTTAAAAAAAAAAGAAAAGAAAAGAAAACCTAGATGTTGCTCTAAAATCCTAGGAGCAGTAGTGTGATCTCAGTGGCTGTCATGGAAAGGAAGGGTCAAAGGGGCAGTTCAGACTATGCGGGAATACAGCAGACTTACTTGGACAAGTATATGGCCTTTCAAGATGGCTATTTTAGAGGATGATATACATTTAAAATTTTAAATCTATACATTCCAATGATTTTTCTTTAAAGTTTTCACCTCATTGATTAAAAGCCTCACCTTACACAGACTTAAAGATTTGGGTACAATGCTAGAACAGGAAGAAGCTGGGTGCTTAGCACCTCGTTGGTCTTCAGTTGCTGAAGAACATGAAGGTCAATGTCAGCCTTGGTGTTAGGTGATGCTAGGAACTGTGCCTCAGCGTTTTGTGTGTGTGTGTGTGTGTGTGTTTTGTTTTTAGCTTAAATAGCTGAAAATCCATTTAAAAATGTTTTTCGGACCTTATTCTTTTGCGTTTATGTTTTTTTGTCATCTTATCTCATTGGAAACAAGAGTAACTGCTTTCTTGGCCTTCCTCCTGATGGAAGGGGAAGGTAGGGCCGTATGAGGAACATATTTCCTGATTTGCATATCCGACCACCTGGGACACTTTCCCTTTTCAAGTTGCTTTTTGCAAAGAAAATGACGTTGTCAAAAAATTATTTAGGCTCTAGTTATCATACATGCTTACTTCTGCTTGACGTTTTTACCAAGCAAGCATGACCAGCAAATACTTTAAATGGGTCGGAGGCATGTCTATAACAAATATGTCTGCAATGTGGGAAATTAAATTTGTCCTCAAGTATGAAGATCCAGATTAAGAGGAATGAAAGCATTTAAAATACATGTTATAAATAATCTTGTAATGAGTGTTTGGCCTGGTGACTTTAACTGTTTTATTGCAGCAGCATGAGGCTAGCTCTCACATTGACCATCACTCACTCGGGGGATCGTGGTTGCTATTCTGCATGAAGATAGTGATGGACAACTTAAATACTTCTCATTTTGAAAAGTGAAGCATGAGTGATTAAGTGATGCATCCCTAAGTTGGATACCAGGTTTTTACTGAGGCCCCGTAATGAATAAGAAGTGCATTAACCAAATTAAAACTCTTGCTTGTCTATATATTGGCTATCGGTACACCTTTGTGAATTTCATTACCATGTAGCAGAGCCATGCTCATCAAAGAGCTTCCTCAGAAATCTCTCTTGTTTTAAAGCTTTGGTGTACTGCTAAAGTGGATAACTATGATTGTGTGTGTGTGTGTGTGTGTGTGTGTGTGTGTGTGTGTGTGTATCTTGTATTTCCCCCACAGATAAACCTTGAAGTTGTGAAGTTAAATAATGCTTACTGCTAAAAGTGGTTTGATGCCTAGAAAAATGCTTCAGAATAATATATAATTGAGATCAGATATTACACTGCCTGAGAGGTTACACTGCGTAGACTTTTATTTCACATGTAACAGAACTTGATGAGAATGAAATATCCTGATATGAATGACCAGTCTGTTTCCAGCTGTAACACGAGTCACTAATAAACCATGGAGGGACACCCATGGTGCTTCACCTCTTTGGAAGCTTCAGAAATTGGGCTGTTGCCCACCCCTGAAAAAAAAAAAAAATCTGCAGTCAAGATGCCAGGTTCCTATTAGCTGCAGAAAATACAAAAGGGTGGGAGCTAGTGCTGGTGGAAGGAACTAAGTTTTAATAGAACTTAACAGAATCCCTCTTCCACTGTGACCAGCCGATGCTCTCTTTATCCTTTACTTCACTGTGCTATGACTCTCCAAGCTGGAGAGGAGAGAAAAGATTGAGAATCAAAGTGTGGATAAGAAGCAGAGACCAAAAGGACAAAAAAGCAAAAGCTGACTGGAGGAAGCAGAAGACGACAAACACAGAGAATGAGCGGAATTTCAAAGAGAATCGGATGGACACATGTTGAAACCAGTAAGAGGAAAAGTTTGTTCTGATAATGCAAACTGGGTTGAGGTCTGTATCCATAATCAGAGACTTGTCTGAGTGAGCTGGAGGGAGCCCAGAACCGGGAGTCAAGACAGTCTTCTGGCCCTTCGGGGGCTTGGATGGCAAGTGAGGCCAGGATCTAATTTTTTTTCTGTCTCAACATCATCTCCGTTAAGCACTTGTCCAGCAGTGATTTGAGGGCTCCGAGTGATTTGGATCCCCATGCATTTCTCAGCAGTCAGGCGTCTCAGGTAGCTGAATGAGTTCTCATTTCACCAACGTGAGCTTCCGTGTCTCCTCTCTAAGCTTCTGTTCCTTGGGCGGCGAGACCACCTCTGCCATCTCGGATTACAGCACCGAGTAACAGGGGCGGTTATTCCTTTACATCTCAGAGGAGAGATGGTGGGTTGGTAGGTTTCTCCGCCGTTGACGTAATGGTCATGCACAGCTGTAAACACAAAGGCGGCAGGCAGTCATCTCCTACTACCAGGTAACTTGACTTCTTCAAAAACAAGGACAAAAGCTGCCTGTGAAAATCAGGACTTAATAAAGTGAAGCTTGTCACTTGTTTTGTTTTCCTTATTTCAGTTGTGAATTTAAATATATTTGTTTGTTATCCGTTTTATTAATATTTATATGTGCATGTAACAGGGTTTTATCTTAGGCAGTTTTAATTCTTTGTATGTCTGAATACCTGCTTGAAGTAGGATATCCGATCAGATTCTTTCTTTGATAATTCGGAGATGAAATGCACAGGTGGAGGATGTGTCATCTTTAGTGCAATGTCTCCATTTAAGTGTTCTTTGAAGCCTAGAAGTTTGGACATAAGCTGTTTATTATGCTATAGTTCCAGCTCTTCCTAAAGAAAACCACCATTGAATTAACTTTTGCATAGTGTATTTCTATCAAACCATTTGATCCTTGTTTCTGCAAGATAATCCTAAGAACTTTTTATTTTGAGAATAGAAAACCATGATGGATTTAATTCATAAAGGGAAGCTGCTGCAAGGAATGTAAATGGAAGCGCTTGATAAGGTAGGATTTCCTAGTTGCTATGGCAACCTGTGGGTCATGAGCCTGAGAAAATATAAAGTAAGTCCTGAAGCTGTGAAGATGATTATAAAATTTAACTGTCATTCTTCATTTAGAGTTGATGGCAAACATTATTTACTTAAGTTTATCTCAAGGCAAGCGAGGATCCGTTTTTAAAAATCTGAGACTCAGATCACAAATGAATCCATGTTGCACATGTCTAACATTATAAAGCACACACAGCGTTTATTATTCTAACCAGACTATTTGTACATAATATCCCTGTAGATTTGGTCACCTTCCTATGGAAGCCAACAGTTTTTGTCTCTTGAATTCTTAATGAAAACTGTAGAATTCAGCTGTATACATTGAGTAATTTTGCAAAACTCTGTGTGCTTCCCATGCCAAAAAGAAGGCCTAGGGGATTGTGTAGGAAAGAGCCCTTTGTGCCTTCTTTTCAGGTTCAACTGTAAATAGTAAACTGTTTAGGGTGGGTGGGTGCCAGGAAGGAATGTTAATACAGTTGTCTATTTTCAAAATATACCGGAACCTGGAGATTAAAGAGGTGGGTTAAAATCTCTTTCGTGGGGGCGCCTGGGTGGCTCAGTTGGTTAAGCGACTGCGTTCGGCTCAGGTCATGATCCTGGAGTCCTGGGATCGAGTCCCGCATCGGGCTCCCTGCTCAGCGAGGAGTCTGCTTCTCCCTCAGACCCTCTTCCTTCTCGTGCTCTCGATCTCTCATTCTCTCTCTCTCAAATAAATAAATAAAATCTTTAAAAAAAAAAAATCTCTTTTGTGAATGCTTCCCCCTTTCCCTGCCAAGGGGTGGTGGTGGTGGAATCCACTTTTTCTGCTACAGAAGAATGCACATGAGGTGTCAGATTCCTAAATTGAAATATGATGCTCAACTGTGCACTATGACAAAGTATCAGTTTTTCTTGCTTTATCTTTTACAGAATGTTGTTAATTTGCACTAATGACCTATGAGACCCATTGCAAATTACCCAATCTTGCAAATTAGTGAGTATGTGAACAAACACTATAAAACTATCAGATACTACATCAAACAAATGTAGTTTATTGCAGGAAGAAAAATAGACTTGCATATTGAGAGGGAACATATTTTTACAGCCAGATAAGTGCTTTCCTTTCGTGTGCTTGCCCATCGGGGAGCGTCAGCACATTATATGGTCTGTGGCATCCAATGGCTTACTGGCTCTTGAGCAAAAACATCATTTTTTAAAATGCAAGCATAGAAAATCTCAGTGATTACATGCATACTGGTATCTGATATTGAATTTTTCCCATATCCTTTGCCTCCTTAAAAAAAAAAAATTCTCTTTCCCACTTTGTATGCTGAACTTTTACACTAAAAAGGAGAACAAAATTTAAGGTTATTGAGAATAGGATGTATACTTGTCTGGCTTTTCTATACTGCACCCGTTTGAGGCTGACCCTGCGGGATTATGCACCCCCTCCCTCCTGGAGGGTGAGGGAGAATCCAGCCCACACAACAAGCAGCGTATAGTCCACTCATCAAAGCACTTTTCTCAGTTGGTTTGTTTTCATGTCTAGCAGCAGAAATAGCTGCTTTTTTTTTTCTTCTTCTTCTTTTTTCTTCTGGCATCTTGTAATTGCGACTGGTAATGTGTCTTCTTGCTAACCTGGGAGCAGCATTCCCCCGTTCCCCCCTCACCCAGCCTGGCTCCCAGCCGGAGGCCAGGGACAGATTGGCACGGCACCACCCTTCCCCTTCCTATCGGTCCGTCCAGCCCCCTTCACAGGTGGACCCCACTTGGGTCTGCAGGGGCCCCTTCACTCTTGACGCCCCAGTGACACGTCTTCTACCTGGCTTGCTAATAACCACAGCCGCAAAATTCCGCCTCCGCCATGAGCGTTTTTAAGTGCTTATCATGTGCTAGGTACTGTGATAAGCTCTGTATTGTTCTTGTGTTTATTGAATCCTTGACCCAGTGTAATTGAAATACATACATATATATTTTTAATTTTGTTTAAAAATTATCGTACAATAAAATTACCCTTTTTTTGTGCACAGTTACTGTAAATGTTAACAAATGAACATATGTAATCAAGATCTAAAAGAGTTCCATCACTCCCCCCCCAAAAAAACCCCTCATGTGTGATAAGCATTTTGAATGCCTTTGTGTCTTAATCTCTCAATGTTATTGGGTGTGTATTACTATTTTTTTTTTTTTTACTTTATTTTCTGATGAGGAAAGTGAGACTCAGATATTCAGTAACTTGGTCAAGGTTGTACACCTAATTAGCGATGAAGCTAGGAGTGGACTAGTTCCAGAACTCGAGGTTTTTATGCACTATTCTGTGCCACCACTCACAAAAAGTGGCTCGGGGCTATATTCTCAGCAAAGCACAAAGGTCTACATGTGACTTTTAAATGACAGAATGTGACGTTGCATCTCGGAAAGGATCACAGAGATTTTTATGTGATGCACTCTCGAAAGAGCCCAGTAGAGGAGGGTTTTGGTTCGTTTGTGCGTTTCGTTTTGTTTTGACTTCAGTAAAGCCTGGTAAGAAGATGGAGTTGAACAGCTTGGTTCAGCTAGAAACTGTGAATACTTTCTGGATGAAACTTACCAACACCCACGTCTCATTACTGTCGTGATTGTTCCCCTGCCCCCCCAGGCTGTGTCATCCAGCTACACATTAGAAACCGAAGCTGGGCTCTTCCATTAGCCACGGTCAGCTCACGCTATCCTCTCTCTCTTTTCAAAACTAAAACCCTTTTCGGTAGCTGTGGGCTCTTCTGTGAGGGTGAGTCAGCTTCAGGAATAATAACCAGAATCTTTCATCCATGCTTTCACTCTAATGTGCTGATGCTGAAATCATCCTAAATATCAATACAGAATTTTGCTTTAGACTAAGGATTCTGCTGCCATCATTCAGTGCAAATCCCCCGAAGTGCAAAGGAAACTCTGAGCAATAAAGGAAGTGCTAAAGTTCTGTGTGGAGTGGGGGGAAAGGGCAAAATAGTTTGTTCAGGGAAAAGCGAGGGCTTCAGAGATGGTTAGAGAAGCTCCGCACTCAAAACGTGCAGCCTGGAGCGCGCCACCTCCAATTGAGCTTGACTCGGATAAATGTGATTTTGTGACCAGCACCTGCATGCATGTTGAATGGTTTTAAATCCTGTATTCACGTCTTCGGGATGGCCATGATCCATGATGATCATGGAGACACCGTGAGGAGGCCGCCCTAAGGGTTCTCCCTCTCTCATTCTCTTTCCTTCTCATAGTTTTGCTTCCAATGTAATCCTGATAGATCTGGGCTGTTATGATAAATTGTGAGAGATAATGAGCATTCCCTTTATACACGTTCAACAATATTAGCCCTGAAAATTTTGTTTCAAGAGTTCTTTTTCAGGACAGAATTTGTGTAGCACTTCCTTTGGGTCTTATATGTGCTTAAGAATCCACCTTGTATTGGTATGAAAAAAAGAGGAAGGAAGCCAGATATTAACATGAAATCCTAGCTTGGATTCTTTGATCCCTTAATTTGATCTTTCTCAAAGCAGCATCTTAGACCTTCCCCCACCCCCTACCCCCCGTTGGAGATGGCATTCCTGTCTGAGGACAGACGACAGGTTCTATTTTCAAAGTGAGGATGGGAATATTAAAACCTGAAAGCCAGAAAAGGAATTTCTTCTATTAGTAACTCTGTTCTTGATGAAGAGGGTAGGAATTATTACCATGATTTAGCTGAGGGAGCCCCCTGAAAATTCTTATCTTGCAAATACTTGTTTCTAGGAATGTTATCCATGATTATCATTAGCAGCTAATAGTACCATGAGTTGTATGTATCTATTTAGGTAGCTTCTCTTAAAAATTATTTAATATTTTTCTTCCATATTTGTAGCCTTTTTTTAGGCTAGATCAACTGAAAAAATCTATGGCATTTGCCTTTTATAACACATTTAGAGGAGCTAATCTGAAATCACAGTTTTCAATCAGAAGGAATATTGGATGCCTTTATGGAAAGATTACCACAAACGAAGTTTTCTTTCCTTTTTTCTGATTTAGATTCCTTGAGTGTACTTTGTTAATGTTTGAACATTGAATCAAACAGTGTATTTCTCCCATCTTTAAACATTGCAAATTCAAGGCAGGGGCCTCTGCTTCTGTCTTCAAATGAACAAGAAAACCATTTTAAGGGAAAATGGCGGCTACCGTGTCAATGCTCTGTATCACCTCTATCAAAGAGACTGATTACAATGTTGATGGTGGTTTTCAAGGCCATCTCTGTCTTGCTTCTGCTTCTTAAGAATGTATAATGCA